AAATAATCTATAGATATTTTTCCAAAATTAATGCTTGATGAACATTTTCCAAACTCTTTGATTGCTCGATATTATGGTGTTAATGTTGTTCATTCAAATGGTGACGTGAGTATTAAAAAAACAAATAAATAAAGTAATTTATTCATTTATTATCTTTATAACGTATCTTGTAATGACACCTTTTAGGTATGGAGGCAACATAGGTACTTCATGCCAACTTTAATATTTATCAACTCTTTTCGAATTTATTAACTTTACTCGTGATTTAGGCGTATATGTAACCCAGCATTCAAAGCTTTGCCCATACACTTCTTTATCGAAACTGGGGACAAATTGACGAAGATTTTAGAGAAAATAGACAATAAACCAATTGAAGTTAGGAATCTTATGCACAGGTTATAAAAAATAATTGATTATACATATATAAATTTTATTTGTGTTGAAATATTTATTGAAATTAAAATTTATAAAAAATCTAGATTCGCCCTGGACGTTCTTGGCAAAGCTGCTTTTGGGTTTGATTTTGACGTAAGTATACTTAGATTTTTGGTAATATTTTAAGGATTTTTCATTATTTTTAATGAATTAATTAATTAATGGATTAATGAATTAGAACCTTGGAAATCCGAACAACGTTTATGTAACAGCATATAATGAAGTTCAAGAAGACATTACAAATCCATATTTTATTTATTTTCCAATACTTAATTGTATTCCATTTCTAAATAAGCAACGTTTTAAAAGAGTAGAGAAATTGGATAATCTATTTGATGAAATTGTTGAAAAGAAACGCAAAGCTTTGACTAATGAAAATACCCAAAAACAGGGTGACCTTTTAGAGTTAATGCTAAAAGCTTGCGAAGATCCTGAGAATCCGAAATTAACAGATATTGAATTCAGGGTATGTTTAAAAGTTTTAATAGTGAAGTTGATATTTTTTTTTATAACGAAAATTATAATTCTTTTGTAGAATAATTTGGGTGTTTTTATGCTTGCAGGTCATGACACAAGTG